GACACAGGATTCACATTCAAGGTAAATATGATATTCCAGACTAGTGTTTCTGGGCAGAAAAAGCTGTGTCTTTGGCTTTCTCTGGATTCTGTAGCACTGGATTGAAATATTCAATCTTGGGTCAACACAGTCTAAAAGACTGGTAAGAGGTGCAGTGTGGTACTGCCATTGAAGCCGAGTGAGCTTATGAGCCAGGTGGCTCTGCATTTTCTAGTATTTGTATTCTGTGTGGGAAACCTTATATTGGACTGTTGTTTTGCTTACTGCTGTTTTAATAAAAGTGGGCTACGAGGCCCTTAACCCCTTAACGCTGGCACTTTAGGGGTTGGTGATACCGGTAGGCGGGGCGAGGTTTAGGGTCATGTGACTGACTGTCACAGCGGTCACATGATCAGAAAGCTCCCGATCGCTACTTGCCTTTCCGTGAGGCACCAGTAAATATGTCAGGAGCACACAGGGCGAATGCTCTTGGCACATGTTTGTTTACATTGGAATACAAATATGCAGCCTCTCCGCATCAAGGCCCAGCCGCCAGGAGGCCACATAATTGCATACCATTAGCGCCAAGGAGTTAAAAATAGTTCCTGTCCTCCATGGACTCACTATATAAACGCATCTACCATGAGAGCTAGCTACCTCATGTCACAATATATATATATGCATATTTATATAGTAATGTTTGCGGGTTGTTTATTTCAGTGTAGTGCTCACCAGTGAGTACAGTCCATGCCAGTAATGCTGTTTAGGGGCTTGTTGGGCCATTTTTATTAAAAAGAAAGAAATTGTAAAACAAATCTAACTGCTTCCCTCGCAGGCATTTCCACCATCAACACAAAATAATGTTCAGCTTCTTGGCTCTCTTTAACAGCACCTCTGTTCAGGCGTTGTGTGTTGGTCCTTCTGACTAATTACCATAGCATCCCTGGGTTCATGAATGAATGCTGTACCTATAATTCAAAATTTCTTGGCCTAATAGGTGTCGCATCCCAATTATCAAAATTTAAGGAGACATTTGACATGGTGGGATTTTTAAGGCACAGTACAACCATTGTCTTAAAATATACATTTTATTTGTACATTCTCAATAACAAATTTTTCCACATCAAATTGTATGTCTAATATTAAAAATGCCTTGAAAGCTACAGCTCGAGATAAAATGTAAGTTACAGATTCAGGTTCTCTGAAATCTCAATGTGTTTCTTGGATTTTATGCACTTCATCAGGAGCTAGAGATGATTACCACTGAATATATTCAAAAGGCAAGAAAGCCTTAGAGGAGAAATCAATTTCGGAAGTTCAAAAAAGAGAGGCACATGTTGATGTGGAAGTTCCACTTAGATGGTTGCCTGGAGGCACTAAAAAGCCATACTGGTAGGTTATCCCATAAACTTGATTAAATGGATAAGCTACAGTATATGCTTTTGCAAAAATCACAAGAGCCTCACAATTGTTGTATCCATAGTTTGACTGCAAGGGCGTATCCAAAAACCTACCCTGGGGTCGCCTCCAAAGTAGCTATCCATAGTCACCCAAACTCTAAAGCTTCCACTCTCTCAAAATAATTGGAATATCGTACAAAAAAATGAATGCTGTACCTATATCAGCTCTTCCCCTTGCAGCTTCCCTGCTGCTCTAGCTCCCAGGCTTGGGCCCTCTATCTGTTCTATCACAGAATACAGCATGCAGACATGTACCCTTCTGGCTGCTTCTTTGCAACCATGTGGACCCCTCAGGAGGATGGAGCCCAGAACTTTGGTCCTGACTCTACAAAACATTTAGCTCACACAATCAGGAAACTGAAAAAAAAAAAATCGGTTTCCACGAAATGAATCAAGCACCATGGAGCCCCTCAACCTGCCTAGTTGAGAATACTGGGTGACATAAAAGCATTTTAACACCTTGACAGGGCACCACACTGTTACAATACATATAGTGGATTGCCCTGCCACAAGTTAGGTCCTCATAACCATTATAAATAAACAAAAAGCAACAATAGTTGCAGCACAGAAGAGAGGTCTATTTAATGTTCACATATACATTTCACAGCTGACATTCTTGCTCTTTCTCATGCTTGATTATGGGATATGTAGTTTCTTCACAGGAAGTATTTTCCATGTACACTCTGCATACAGGCATCGCATGTCAAAGCTTTGCAGAGCATTGAAACATGCATAGACTTTATTGAAGTGTCATTTTGTAACACTTCAATAGACTTGGGAAAAAAAACATTCAAAAGTGATATGTGCTGTAACAGTACATTGCAGTGCCCCTGACTGTCCCTACACAACAGTCACCAGCCCCCTTCAGCATTTTAGCATGATGCGAACGAGCCCTTAAAGGTCAAAAGTCTTTCATATAGCTGTAGATAGCTTGCTTAGTTACAAACAGGTGTTGGGTTTTAACACCCGTTAAGGGCATGCGCTCTCCTCTCCCCCCAACCAAATTGGGCTTATCATCCATCATTTTCCCAATTCAACCAGCATATGATAGATGTTATGTAACTCCAAGTCATCAGAATGAACTTGTGCTTTCCTCAAGCAGGGCATAGCACCCGGTTAATAGCAGTCCTACCAGCAGTTTTTACTTATCACCCCTTCACTTTCTTGCTACTCTGCTGTACGAAGGGAGAACGGTCTCCAAACGCTGGAGAACGGTCTACAACTCTGGAAAACGGCTGATTTTAATATAATCTCGTGAGATTACAGTAAAAGATCAGTTTACTAAGCAGAGGTAAATTATCTCTGCTTAGTTTGAGGTCCCTCTGATTCTCCAGCTCTGGGCTGGAGAATCTGGAGGGAGAACACAGATCTCCAGTGAAGGGCTGACATGATCTCCTGAGTGTCATAAACTGTGAATCACCAGAGAATAGCTGAGATCCGTTGAATCGCAGCTATTCTCTGTGTCATAAACGGACACCTCAGCCCTGTAAAGGTTTGAATCTGCAACCTTCATAGAGCTCCCTCCGCTACCATGTTACAATGCTGGGTGCCTGAGTGGCAAACCACCAAGCATGAGTGCTGAGGAGGGAGAGTATGTCACATGCTCCCAACAGTATGGAAGTATTAGGTATTTTTCATTGCATTTGGCAACAAGAGTGGTGAGGGAGTGGAGAGAAGGTAAGAACATGCTGCCGGTGAGCTGTTTGATCATACAGGTATTTTGCAAATGAACAACTACGCAGATTTTCATGTTATTAGTTTCAATAGCTTTTGTCATAAAGGTTGCAGTAGGCTGGAAAGCTTTGTCTCATTTTCTATTTATCTATCTGTTTAAAAACATAACCTGGAGTAGTTTGTGAATATCTCAGCCTGGTTTACTCAACGTGTGCTGATTGCACATGGTTTTTAAATAAACCGAGGTTCATCCAAGGGTGTTATGGCTTGGATGCAAATGATCAGATCCCATATGTATACCCAGTTTAGAATGAGTACTTTTTCTAAAGTGAAATTATGTGCCTCTCAGGAGTATCCCCAAGTGACTGACTTCATGTATAATTACTGTGTGAAGTAGATACAGGTCTTCTTGGTAGCTGCTAATGTTGTTGCCTAGGCTGCTGTATGTAATCATCTAGATTCCAGCTGTATGTTTATTGTAGGGTATTGCTGCCATTTTTTGTTTCAGGAAATATCTTTACCACGTTTGTTATTTGCACATTTCATGCTGATGAAAAGCGTGAGATGCTGGCATCTTTTGATGTTTTTTTCTATAGAATGGCATATGTATATAATTACAAGTGTTTATCTGAGACCTTGCAATGCTCTACAAGTGGAACATCACTATTAATCCATCAGGGCTGTTTTTTGTGCCCATTAGAATCCTAAATAGTCACATTCTAACCTTTTATTGAAACCGTAATGCCTTCTCTGTAATTAACTAATTTGTCAAGCTGATTACACATAATTCAATATTACTTAGTTTTCATCCAAATTGTTATTTTGGCAAATATCAATGGATGGTGAAAATTATCTCCATGATACATAAGTCATTCATAATTTATTGAGAAGAAACATTGACGACCAGATCTCAGTAGGCTCTACAAGTGCTGAAACCAGCTGTATTTGGAGCAAATTACATGATTAATGTCTGCAGTTGATATCCCATGCTCCAGTTAAAGGGAACATTCATATTTTGACCAAAAAGAATAAATGCACTTTTTTTGCAGGTAAAAAAATGTGCATTTATTGTTTTTGATTGCAGGATCCTGTAAGGCATTGCACCAGTGATCAGTAGATCACTGGTGCCATTCAGGTCTCCTGCAGACCTGTCAGTATAACTGCTTGCCTATATGGGATGTATAGGCAAGCAGATACACTTACAGGAAGATTCAATGAACAACCACGGTGCTCCATGGTGTTGTGGTAGTTCATTGAGAAATACAAGCTGACAGCTACTAAGGCTTACACGGGGAACTTCTCTCCGTACTTCTGTCACAGGGAGGGGGGGCAGGGGGCGGCGGCTGCAGCTATGAGAACATGTTACTTATTCCACCCTAAAAACAGGTGGAACATGTAACATGTTCCCAAAGGTGAACTTATCCTATAACCACTTTTACCCCCTTCCTTACCAGGCCAATTTTCAGCTTTCAGCGCTGTTGCACTTTGAATGACAATTGCGCGATCATGCAACACTGTACCCATATGATATTTTTATCATTTTTTTCACACAAATAGAGCTTTCTTTAGGTGGTATGTACTCAATGCTGGGGTTTTTTATTTTTTGCGCTATAAACAAAAAAAGGAGCAAACATTTTTTTAAAAAATATGTTTTTCTTTGTTACTATTATAAAATATTGCAAACAGGTAATTTTTCTCCTTCACTGATATGCGTTGATGAGGCTGCACTGATAGGCAGCACTGATAAGTGACATTGATGAGCTGGCACTGATATGCAACAATGATGGGCAGCACTGATGGGTGGCACTGACTGACGGCACCGATGGGTGGCACTGACTGATGGTACTGACTGTGGCACTGATGGGTGACACTTCTGGGCAGCACTGCTGGGCACAGGTGGGTGGCACTGCTGGACACTAATGGGCACAGGTGGGTGGCATTGCTGGGCACAGATGGGTGGCACTGCTGGTCACTTGTGGGTGACACTTGGGGGCACAGGTGGGTGGCACTGGTGGGTGGCACTGATCATCAGGGTACTGATCATCAGTGCCCTGATGATCGGTGCCGATCCATCCTCTAACAATTTCTGGTTATCAGCAATATTTATCTCACGATGTGACAGCGTGCGGAAAGTGCAGTCGATAACTGGCAACTGCATTTACCGGTGATCTACTGTGTCATTGGGCGCGGCTGATCACATGGTAAAAGGCTGCTGTGATTGGCCTTTTACAACATCACGTGATCAGCTGTGTCCCTACGGACAATCACAGAGATCGCCAGGTGCATGGGAGAGCGCGTTCTGGGAGGACGTCATATGACGCCCTTCCAGAACCGGCCAGCCACGGTGAAGCTGTCATTCGGCTATCTGCGGTTGGCAAGTGGTTAAAGAGGATTTTACAACTAGATGCATTATCTGTTTGTCCACTTATCTGCTTAACGGCTGTGGTCTGCAATAAAGAATATAGTGAATTTTGCATCAACCTCTGGAAGCTGAAATGAAAGAGACCAATATGTTTTCAAAGAGAACCTTTTCATTGCACATGCCCTTACCAGCATCCTATGTACTTCCTTTGATTCACTGACCTCTCCTTGCACAGGGAAGACACTTTCTTCATCCCCATGTTATGGGGCTCGGACAACCATCACATGTTCAACCTTTATTAGGAACTACTGTGTATTTTTTTGCTTCTGGTAGTTTAACTTCTTGCCGACCGCGCATAGCCGAATGACGGCTTCACCGCGGCCGGCCAGTTCTGAGTGGACGTCATATGACGTCCTCCCAGAACGCGCTCTCCTGCGCGCCCCAGGGGGCGCGCACCCGGCGATCTCCGTGATCGCTGTGTCCTACGGACACAGCTGATCACGTGATGTGGTGAAAGGCCGATCCCATCGGCCTTTTACCACGTGATCAGCGGTGTCCAATGACACGCTGATCACAGGGAAATGCAAGTGCCGGTTCTCGGCTGCACTTTCCTCACGCTGTCAGATCGTGAGGAAAGTACTGCCGAGAACCGGCAGTTGTCAGAGCGGGGATCGGCACCGATCATCAGGGCACTGATGATCAGTGCCCTGATGATCGGTGCCCAGCAGTGACACCGCAAGTTCCGCTCAGCAGTGCGCCCACTAGCCCCGCCCACCCGTTCCCAGCAGTGCCCCCACCTGTGCCCAGCAGTGCCCCCACCTGTGCCCAGCAGTGCCCCCACCTGTGCCCAGCAGTGCCCCCACCTGTGCCACTCTGCAGTGCCACCTACCTGTGCCCAGAAGTGCCACCTACATGTGCCCAGCAGTGCCACCCACCTGTGCCCACCCACCAGTGCCACCCACCTGTGCCCACCAGTGCCACCCACCTGTGCCCACCCACCAGTGCTGCCCACCAGTGCCACCCACCAGTGCAGCCCAGCAGTGCTGCCAGTCAGTGCCACCAGTCAGTGCCCAGGGGTTGTGCCAGTCAGTGCCGCCAGTCAGTGCCCAGAAGTGATGCCAGTCAGTGCCGTCTTTCAGTACCCATCATCAGTGTCACCTATCAGTGCCGCCTATCAGTGCTTCATATCAGTGCCGCCTATCCGTGACCCCTAATTAGTGCTGTCTATCAGTGCCGCCTATCCGTGCCACCTCATTAGTACTGCCTATCAGTGCCCTTTAGTGCTGCCTATCAGTGCCCATCAGTGCCGCCTATCAGTGCCCATCAGTGCCGCCTCATCAACGCAAATCAGTGAAGGAGAAAAAATACCTGTTTGAAAAATTTTATAAAAGAAACAAATAAACTTTTTTTTTTCAAATTTTTTGCACTTTTTTTTAATTTATAGCGCAAAAAGTAAAGCGCCCAGTGGTGATTAAATACCACCAAAAGAAAGCTCTATTTGTGAGAAAAAAATGATCAAAATTTCATATGGGTACAATGTTGCATGACCGCGCAATTGTCAATCAAAGTGCGGCAGCGCTGAAAGCTGAAAATTGGCCTGGTAAGGAAGGGGGTATAAGTGCCTGGTAGGCAAGTGGTTAATGGAGCTATGGGGTGTTGAAGGATAAGTTCATAAGAACTGCTAGAGTAGGGGCTTTAACACATATCTGATACTTTGATTGTAGCTTTTAATTTAACTTGTAGTAAAAAACGAGTAACTCTGGTGCACAGGAGTAAAGTAGTGTAAGGGTGAAAAGGATAAAAATTATAAAGTAAAAGATGATAATGGCAATATTGGCATACAAGTACTTTAAAACAGGGCATGTAAATGCATTGGTATACAGTAAGTCCTTATAAGAGTCTATCAGGCAATTTGCCTGAAATATTTTTAGCACAAAAAGACTGCAGCCATCCTTGGAGCAAGCCAGCTCTGTATGCAGGGACAGAAGAAAAGAGACAGGAGGCGCCCGTCTGAGTGTAGTAATAACACTGTATTTAATGGCAAAGGATTAAAAACACTCACAAAGGAAGTAATAAAACAAGCTCGTCTGTGTATGTGAGAGATGACCATTCCTCAAAACGTCCTGCAGGCGCCACCAGTGGTTGGTGTAATAGCAGCTTGGCTGATGGAGATGGTAAGAGACACTGTGGTGCTCAATCCTACAGAGTGGTGATGTTGTAGAGCTGATCCAGTAGTGTTTGTGCAGAAAGGAGCCTAGTAACCAGTATGGAACACACCGGCGGGATGTGTTCCTATTGCACTAACCACCGGTGGTGCCTGCAGGACATTTTAATCCTTTGCTATTAAATACAATGTTATTACTACACTCAGACAAGGGCCTCCTGTCTCTTTTCTTCTGTCCCTTTAATTTAACTTGTACTGAACTATGGAAGCTTCTGTTTTGTATTGCTCTTTCTTAAATTGTTAGTTGCCTGGTTGTCATATGCCAAATATTTCTGAGGCATTAACCTGGAGCTAGTATGAAGATCAGGAATTATGATTTATCTGACTTTCCTGCTGCAGACTTATTCTAGGTCAGTGACTCGTGAAATATTGAAATCATAGACAATCTTGAAACTGGTATTCTTAGAAGGAAATCAATGATGGCAGCTCCCATATTCTTCTCATTACAGGTTTCTTTTAAAGGACAATCACACTCCAAAGACATGCTGGTTAATTGGCTCCTGTCTAAATAGTCTGTAATATGTGTATGAATATGAGTCAGGGACCTTAGATCGTACACTCTGAGGGCAGGAACTGATGTCACTGTACGATATATGTGAAGTGCTGCATGACTTGATGACACTAAATAAGTATCAGTAATAATAATATTGATTTTGGCTGTTTTATTTTGTGGTATTTTGTTAAAATGTAAAAGTTCTGACACAAATGTTTTATAGCTGTGTTTATTTCCTATATGCAGTGTCTGCAAGCTTTGTTTTACAAATAAACATTTCATACATCTCCCAGTGCATTATGGGTTTTTTGAAGAGCTGCTATTTTTGATTATGATGTCTCCTATTGAAACCACAGAGTAGACATGTGCATGCCGGAAATTTTTGTTTTGTTTAGTTTTGGATGCATTTGTTTATTAAATAATTTCATTTTGTCATATTCGTTATGTTGAACCGATTCGTTTTCAGAATTCATTTTGTATCTTCAGCATTTGTGTAGTATATTTGTTGGTCCGAGTGGATTAAAAATTTTTTGCAGTTTTCCCTGAAGATTGCTATATTTTTTTTATATTATCGAATCGGATGGATTCTGATTGGAAGGATATGATTTTTGGACACTAAAGTAACTCACTAAAAGAAATGGCATAAGCTGATTGGACAATATCGACTGGGGCCATGTGCATCTGAATTAACGAATAGAACAAAATTTGGATCCATTCATTATCCGAATCGGAATTATCGTGCACATTTGAAAATTGAAATTCATTTTCCCATGGGCTCAAACTACTATCACATCATGTGACTGAAACGAGTGCATTTGTTAACTTTGTTATTACTTTTTTTTTTTATTCAGTGACATTTGTTAGCATGTTCATTCAGAGATTTGTATACATCTGAATTTCCGAAAATGGAATTTTCATCCAAAAATGAATTGTAACAAAATTATATGCACATGACTATCACAGAAAAAGTAATGTGGAGGTAGGGAGAGGGGAATAATCACTCCTCTGATCATTTAGCTGTGTGTGTGTGTAAATGTTAGCCTTTGCTATTGAACTTGGTAAACTATTTAACAGACATTTTCCAGCAGAAGGTAAGGAGGAACTGGAAAACATAAAAATCTAAACCCCCAGCTTACATATTAACCATATTAATATGCAAAGTGTAATGTGAAGTATATCTTTAATGGGAACTCAAATCGGACACTTCTGAATAGATGAATTAAGATAAGATTTGCTTGAATAGACAACAATTGATGATTTCAGTGAAATTTAATTATACCCAACATTGTATTTTAATGTACAGTAGAGACAACTTCAATACAACTTGTGAATGCTTAGTTTGTCATATTCTCAGTCTTTTAAAAAGTTACGTAAAATAGTATCAGGCACAGATGCCATTTAATTTTCAGCAGCTCTCCAGGGAACTTGGACTGTAGTTATGTCTCTTGCCTTACATCAGAAAGACTCTGATACAAATCAACAGCTTTAGGTGTGTTAGTGAGGACAGGATACCATAGCTAGGCCACTCATGTCTGACAGTTGCCCACTACCTGTAGTCTTTTTGATGGAGATAGCTTTAATTTACAGTTTCTATTTTCTTATTAATGGCACTGTGTAAATGTACACTGAGAGAGCAATATGCCAACAGAAAGATGGCCAATACCCAATCTTGAATTCTCTGGTATACATCAATTATTATCAGCTGTAGTTACATATAGGAATCCAAGCCCCAGTCTTTGTTTAAGACCTCCATCTTTCTTTCCCCCAACTGACATCTGACTTACCTGAGCAGGCTGCACATGTTCCTTATTACAGGCAGGATTGATGATCTCAACACCCACCCACACAATATGGCAACCAGCTGCCAAAAACCTTCAACAAAAAAAGATACCCTACAAAGACTACATGTTTAAGCTTAACTAATATATAGCAATTAAGGTGACAGCATTAATAAATATATATAGTGGGTATAGAAAATAATCACTCCCCTTTAAATGACCACATTTTGTTGCTTTGCAGACTGAAATTAATACAGTCAGTTTTCGTTTTATCCAGCTGTGTTTACTCAGTGCAACTTATAACACCCACATGATGGATAAAACACCAACATGTCAGAAAAAAAAAAAAAAAAAAGTTTAAAAACATAATCACTGAGCTGTAAAAAGCATCACCCCCTTGTATCATTATTTTGTTGAGACACCTTTTGCTTTAATTACAGCATTTAGTCAGTCTTTTGGGATACGTCTCTACTAACTTTGCACATCTAGACTTTTCAATTATTGCCCAGTCTTCTTTGTCATCATCAAATTTACCTGAACTTGAGCACTTCTGCAGTTTGTGGACTGCAGTCATTCAATGAGGTTTAAGTCTGGGCTCTGACTAGGCCATGCAAGGACATTCACCTTTTTTTCTCCTTCAACCACTATGTGGTCATTTTTGCTGTGTGCTTTGGGTCATTGTGATGTTGGAAGGTAAACCTTCTCATTGGCAACTTTCTGGCTGATGGCAGCAGATTTTCTTCAAGAATTTGATGGTATTTTGTCCCATCCATTTATCCTTCTATCATGACAAGTGCTCCATCCCTGCTGCAGAGACATGCCCCATAACAGGATATTACCTCCTCCATGCTTTACTGTAAGAATGGTGTTGATTGGATGGCGAGCTGTATTGGATTTCCCCCAGACATAACGCTTAGTGTTGAGGTCAGAGAATTCAATTTTAGTCTCATCTGACCATAACACCTTCTCCATGTGGCCTCAGAATCTTCAAGGTGCATTTTGGCAAAGCTCAGCGGTGATTGCATGTGGCCTTTCTTAACAAGTGGCTTTTTTTCTTGCAACTATCCCATACAAGTAACATTTGTAGAAAACTTGTGAGATTGTTGTCACATGCACATAATGACTACTCTTTGTCATAAATTCCTGCAACTGCTTCAGATTTGCTGTAGGCCTCTTGGTAGCCTCTCTGACCAATTTCCTCCTGGCTCTTTCATGCAGTTTGGAGAGAAGTCCTGATCCAGGGAGGGTCTATGTTGTACGAAATACCTTCCACTTCTTAATAATAGACTTCACTGTGCTTGTAGGCATTGATAAAGCCTTTGAAATGTTTTTGTATCCATCTCCT